TTTAGCAGCCACAGAAGGTTTGGAGATTTAAGGATGCATTTAACCCATCCAGTATCTGTTTGTTAACAGAGGAACAGCCTCCTGTCCTGAATTTCCCCTTTAAATGAGGTTAAGAGAGAACCACTCCACAGCACATGGAAGACTACAATTAAACTCAACAACAGCTTATTGGCGTAACAAGCCATGTGAACATTGCCAGGCAGGGATTGAGAGGGTTGAGAAAGGAGGTGGACCCTGCGGACTTGTGTAGCTACAATCTGTTCAACTCCAATAAACTCATTTTATTTGCAGAGATTTTGGTAAATTTCTAGCTGGCTTGAATGTTTATGTCGTCACTGGTGAAATTTACCCTACCTGAAATTCAACTGAAGACAGCTAAGTCATATTATCCTTTTTTTTGGCCTGCCACTGTGCCACTGAAATAGAAAACAAGAATGGTTCTTGAGAAGGTCTAGATGTAGTTGACTTTGGGATTAAGGGGAAAAAAAAACCAAACAAAAAACACTATAAGGCTTGTATTCCTAAAAACAAACCTCTGTGTCAAGAGACAAGTGAGGCATCATCCACCCTGTTTGGAATGAAGTGCTTATCTGAGGGATGACAATTACTGGGGCCAGAATAAGCATGTGAGGTAAAACCCTTTTCTTCCTCTTCAGTGAAACAAAGGAGCTCTGTTACAGGTACCAGTCACATCATTAGAACTTGTGAGAGATGACAGCACACAGAGTAAGCAACCTTTCATCTGTCCCACTAAGGACCTGGAGGTGTCAGGACCCTGAGGGCACCATCAGCCCTTAACGGCACAACCAGTCTCATGTGGGACCTCCACGCACCCCCTCTGCCTATGGCCCAGCATCCCCATTTAAGCTCAGGCTTGGGCCCTCAGTCTTTGCTGTAGGTGAACCTGTCTGCAGCCATGCCTCTGGCCCTGTCTCCTGGACTGACTTAGGCTATAGGTGGCTTGTCTCCTGGAAAGACCCCTCATATACACGCTTGTACCTGTCCTGTCTTGGGCCCCCCTCTCCTGGGTGGACTTTGGACCCAATGCTACAGCTTTGTCTCCAGCCTTGTCTTTTAAAGCTCCTGGGTGGAGCCTCATCATTCCATCTTGCCCGGGACTGTCAGTAGACCCTGTTAGCAGCACCCGCCTCTGCCTGCCATGCTCGGACCCTGTGGGACTGTGCCCCATCGGTGAGGGCACTGCCAGCCCTGGGGTCACCCTTGCCTCCTGGCTTGCCTCAGCTCCCGGCCCTTGCTGTGTCCTGAGAAGCGGCTGGTGCATAGTAGTTGCAGGAAAATGTTTAAAAATCAATGGACACAATATTCATCTCTTGTAACTGGTGACTGGACAGGTCCTTTCTGGGAAGCCCTCCAAGTCGTCCATAATCACAACCTAAGTTGATTTCCAAGCCTTTAAGCATGGCCTTAGGACAGATCTTGGCACTTTGGTGAGGGCCTTAGCCCAGTAATGGATCAAACAGCTTTAATGCCAGATACAGAAAATATAATCTGAGAGACTAATACAGTATTGTAATATATAAGCACATGAATCACTTTGTGGAAGAAGGTAAAAGAAAGGAAGAACCTGTGTTTGCATTTATAGGAGAAAACTTAATGGTAATGTGTTACTTTCCTTCTTCCATGTTAAAGTAAAAAAAAAAAAAAAAAGCTCTTGATGTATTGAACACAGCAGTCCCCAACCATAAGATTATATTCATTTAAAATGCATGATGAGAAGGGTGAAAAGGGCCAAAGTTAAGCTATTCAATTGACAAATAGGTGATACATTCAGAAGAGAGGAATGTGCCCCTGCCAGAGCACCCTAAGTCGTGCCCTTCTGCTTTGTAATTAATTTTTTGTCTCTGTTCAGCTGTGCTCACATTTCTTATCTCACAGAAGATCTCCAAAGCCCACTTGGGAAAAAAGTAAGCTTTTATGGAGGAAAGGATAATGAGGTTAATAGGCGTTGCTATGAAGGCTGCTGGCCTTACATAGTCTTTACACTTAGTAGTGCCTACAGTTTGAGACAGTTATTTCATTTTTGTATTCATCTTTAATACTCAACAGGCTCATCTTCAGCAACAGCCAAATCTTAAAAATTATGTAAATAGTAACTGGCAAAAATCCACCACTAACTTGCCAGTTCTCTTGAACGTCAGTCCAATAAACTAATTAAAATGTTTAAGACCAAATCCTGTCCAAGCACTAGAATTAATCTCTGTTGTATAAATGTGGCATGATGTCATGAAGACAGGCCATCTAAGTAAACCAGCATATTTCTGGAGATGTTTCAATGACAGGACCTCACTAATATGATTAGATCAGTTCCACAAGCTTCAGAGGAATCGGTTACTATAACCTGCCCCAGACAAGGAGATGAAGAACTGGTGAATGCAAAGAAATACCTGCTAGACAAGTCCTTGTTAGAACCAACTGACAGAACAAAATAGACAAAGTTAGGAACCAGAAAAAGATGAAACATAATGGAAGAGAAAAGGAGTTATTTGTCCCTCAACTTCTGCTATGACTGAATAGAGTTGAAATATCTCACAGATAAATAAAGGCTTTTAGGAAAATAAAGGTTTCTTGAAAAGTAAGATGTGGTTCGCTCTCTTTTTCTGTAATTTAACTGTGGGGTATTATTGGCATAGGCCTCTCATTGCAGGAAACATTAAAACATTATTAACCAATAAGTGCATATTGCTAAGTATGAACTAAAATGGGTTAGCACAAGAAAAGCCCCAAAGTCCGATTTTAAATTAGTAACAATAACTTCAGTTTCCAATAACTCTGTTTTCATGACAGTGAAACAGTTCTGCATGGCCTATCTGGCTATATATTCTACTGCATGGTCCCCTCTCCACCTGCTATAATTTTTGCACTTTTGCTGGTTTTCCCCATTTCCTAGCCTTTGTATCAATGAAATCAAAGGTGCAGTGGCAATTTACCCTGGCTGTGCCTGAAATCCAACATTCTTCTCCCTTTGCTGTTCTAGTCATGTTGTCACATATACACTGACATTAGTAGAATATATGAAGCATTCCATTAGTATTTTCACTCTCTCACTGATGATAAATATTTACGAATTTCTCATGTGAAAATTACACCAAGTGTCTCTGGAATTATACAACTATTCAAGGTGGACAGAATGCTAAATGTGGTCATTACACTCATTCTACTCCAGCACAAATTTTTGTTTAATTTATTTGGTTTCTGCTCTTAAGTTTGCAAAAGTAGCCCTGGCTTCTGTTGCCACTCTACTCCTCACAACAATCTATTGCAAGTACAGAAAGCCTTTATCACGTGTTTCAAGTTATTCTTGCTCCTTTACTAGTCTCTGCAAATCACACCTGCAAAATTGACAACAAGAAGTTTACAGGAGACAAGATTTACTATTTGAATCACACTGGAAGAATGAGCTATGAAAACAGAGGCACACCAATTACACAGGTCCTGCCTCTTTTCCAACCCTCCAAAATCCTTTTATCCGACTAATGCCTGAGGACACTTGTCAATGTGCCTCCAGAAAACTCAGGGTGAGGGTTGAGAGAAAGAGAGAGCATAGAGCTGCACTCAGTGGGGCTGGGAAAGCAGCTGCCAAAAGAAAGTGGGGAGCTGCATGGAGACTGGCCCTGGAAGAAATCTTTCATTTGGGCCACAGTAGCAAACTTGTCTATGGCTTCCCAGGAAAATTAGGGTTAAAGTTCAGCTTCTGGTTGACAGACAGAGGAAGTTTAGAGCTGTAGCACATGTAAGGCTCAAAGAGTCTTAAGTCCTTGTTTCAGCATGTCCACCTTTCCTCACCACCTGAGTTTCTGTACGCTGAAACTCAGCATTAAGTACTAGGCCCCGCAATTTCCTTCTTATTAACCCAGTCTACTTGCATAAGGAATGCGCCATTCCATCCTCCCTTTTTTGCCCTCTGATTTTCTGCACAGCTGAAGCCATAACGGTCTGTTCATGTAAAGCAATCTGAGATATCTGTATAACTGAGAACACTCTTCAGGCATAAAAAAATATTTCAATCAGACTTGCCCAGCACACACACAAACCCAAATAATCTCTGGTCTTTCCAAGCAAAGAATCTAGGAACCTTTCAATGGAGGCAAGACTTGACCACATCATCCCTCTTCTACGGCACTGACTGTAGGAACTTCCACTCTTAAGACAGGATGGGTCTTTTCGCAAGTATTGCAGCACCTGAAATCCATAAATGTCACAGGAGCCCGAAACTCTGTAAGTTTTGCATTAGACACCTCAACAGGACCAGTGCTTTTTTGCTACATTAGAGTGCAGCATTCAAACTCCACAAGAATTACCTTCCCTCACTATTCATCCAGACAGAACCGAGGGAAAAAAAGTAGGACTCTCTTCCTTCAGCACAGAATTTAGACCAACCTAATATTTCTATTTTTAAATTACATTTATGATATTTCCTGTGGGTGTAAGTCATGAATGCGGTTCCAGTATGCTAGGAGCAACGTAAATACAGTCATTCCCAAAGGGATCTTACAGCTGTTATGCATGGGTCAGAGATTCTGTGAAATACAAAATCTGAAACTTTAAAAGCTTTTTAGCCCACATCCTTTCTATTCCTTTTCAAAGGCAGAGTTAATGGATACTGAACAACACTGCCCCAAATTCTGCCCACAAGGTATGGAAGTAGTAACTCTGTTTAAATAAAGTAATATTTAGCAATAAGTAACCACCCAGTCCTACCTTACTCAGGACCGGCATCAGAAATTCCTTTATGATCCAAATTAACTCAACTGCCACTTCACACTGACAACTGTGCAACTGAAGACACATGGAATTGTTTCCTCTGCAAATCATTCTAAGGGGGAAGGAGGAGCGCAACTTCACACTGCAGCATACAAGTCTAGCCTCCTCCTCCTACCTGATTCCTTGATTATTAGACACTCAAAAGGACTTAAGTAAGCTCTCCCCCTTACCAATCTGGAGATGTCAGTCCATAAAACTGCAAAAGATTCTGCACTTACCTCTGATCACAGTCTGGTGAAGGAAAGATACTCATCAGCTGCTTCTCTCAGGAACAATATTCTGTTTTAAAATAAATAAAAAAGAAACAAGACTTTAAACAGCGATTCTCTCTCTCTTGCATAATGTTAGCCTCCCATCGGCGTTTGTAAACATTTACTTAGCAGGAGCACCTTCGCTCTCCAGAGCCAAGGTAATGATTATACACTAACCATGGCACGAGGACAGAACAAGGCCATGACAGCAGCCTTGTTGGCACCAACTACATGATGACGTAGGGTTGCACTGCAGCAGGCTCGATTGTTCAAGAGCAAGGCAAGATGAGAAATGACAAGCGCAGAAGAAAAAAAAAAACCCAACCAACAAACCAGGAACATGGATTTAGAGGTAAACCACAAAGAAAAAAGAAAGTTCACAGAACAAGCAAATGTGGTATGAGCTAAGAGAAATGGACATGCCAGCATAGTCCTAATGGGATTTCTCACATCTGTTCATTAATATTGTTGCCTTTGAAACAGCCAACAAAGCAAACTACAAGACACTACCTTCTTCAGTCTTGGCCACTGCTAAATCAGTTCAGTAAAACTTCAGTGGTATGACAAAGTCTGTGTAGACTACTGCCAAAACCTTTAAAAGAGTCAGGACCATTAGGTATACTGCGAAACAAAAACAAACCACTGAAGGACAGAGTTACACCCTTCCTCCACCCCCCTACCTGGCTAGCGATCACACAAATGGAAGTGCTTTGTGAAGCTAACTGAAGCTCAGGAAACTTCTGTGTCTGTACACACACACAGAGCAACGTCTCAGCAGAGTCACCGAAATCCTGAGGGAAGGCACAGATTAGAACAGGGTCAGTGCTACAAGGCTAATTTTACTATACCTGTCAGACAGCCTCTAAAGGCTGCTTTTCCCCATCAGCTGTGCCTCAGACACACAAGTACTCTCCTGTAGCTTTCCAGCTCACACAAACCTTGATTCAGCAAAACCCCTGACCTTTGAGTTTCCAATAATCTTTAATATCTCTACAGCCAATTAGTAAACAAGAACTACACTTGTGCTGCCTGTAAATACAACCAAGTGCGCCCAGCTCCCTTCCTTCCTTGCAAATTTACAAGAGCAAAATTTTCTCTTTTCCTTTTTCCTGGTTAGATAAAGGTTAGTTTAGAAAAAAAGCACCAACCGTTCTTCAGCCTTCCTCAGTACGCAACCTTCCTCTTTTATTTTGATCTATAATTCTTATATTTCTTCACTAAACAGTTTGAGAAGGCGGAATGAAAAGTCCTGCATACCTGGCCTCCACAGATCCCAACACACCAGGGCAAACATCAAAACAGCCAGATGCAACAGCAAAACAACTAAACTACAAAAGGGGTGAATGTTTGATGTCACTGTAAAAGGAATAGACAACTAAAGAAATGTTTTTCACAAAACTGTGACAATCCAATGAAACTCATTGAGAAAAACAATCAAAATAGGATGTTAATTATTAGTAGAATTTATATGATGACAGTGGATAAGACTCTCGTGTGTCCACTACCATCATGGTAGTCGTTAAGACTCACAAAAGCAGATACACCAGCATCTAACTAATGGCATTTAATGTAAGTTTCCCATAGGGGCTGGCTGTCTCCTGATGTTTCACTGCAAAATACCTTGCACTTTCTGATATAAACTGTAAGTGGCAACTTGGACGAAGATGGAGTGTCTGGTCTAGCTGGTTTTACTTTCCAGAATATAGCAAACTTGAAAAAACCCAAAAGGATCCACATATCACAAATGCAGGGCAGACACTCAAAGGAGAACATGAGTTACAAATAATTTTCTCTTCAGCTTTGAAAAATGCAACTTGCTCACACACATAGAAGCTCAGAAACAGCTATATCAATGAGGTAAAGAGACTCCTGCTCTGCACAGTCCCACAGTTTTCCACTAAGGCATGTCACAACCGATAGAAGTAGAAACACATCAGGGCAGGGTAAGAAGGGAGACGGAATTTAACACCAGCTGAATGGGGTAACAAGGAATTTGAACTGAATGCAGCAATTGGTAAGTAGCTAGTGATGAAACACAAAGAACAGAGTGATATTATCAAGCAGACAGATTTTTCCATCAGTAGAATATGACTGGAATCGACCAAACCTGATTTCACTGCAAGATTTATTTTGAAGAACCTTAAACTAAAGGAGTGGTTTAAAGCAACAGTAGAGTGATGACACTGCAGTCATTTCCACAGAAAGCCAAGCGAGGTGACAAAACCTTGCCTAACAATTTCCCATTTCCCTCCTCCATACATACTCATCTGCCTATGTTGTCCGTGAGAAGCAAACAGATTTGTATGTTTGGAAAGCCCTCGGCATAAAGCGCGCGTTACCACCATTATCAACAGCTGCTAAACATGACCTCCCAAATGCTTAACAGAGAAGGCAACACCACATTTCATCTCTAGGCATCATAGCATTTACTAATGGAAACGAACCTCTGCCTAGCACACAATTAAGCGATTTTGGAAAGATGTCATTAACTCTAAGAGCATCAGATCTTTTCAATATTTAGTTCCGAATTTACCAGCCGTAACAGTAGAGAGGGAAAGCTCAGGAGCTTGTGCTCTGGCCACGCAGGCTCCTGCAACAGCTCCCATTAAGTTACGGTGTGTGCTGTACGGAGACTCAATAAGCAACAGCATTTGTATTCCTGACAGCTTTATTCCTTTAAACACCAGCCACACTGGAAGTCTAACTTTACTTTTTACTCTGGAAAAAAAGGCCAAACCCAAGTGTAACAGATGCTGTCTGGAACGCCCAGGATATGTATGAGAGCATGTGTGTGGTCCCTTCACCATTAGGAGATAAAACAGCTTTCAGGAAAACGAGAAGGGTGCTTAGTTTTCTAAGCATAAAAACCTTAATATTTACACTAATCAAATACAACAGGGTCCATTTAGTCAGAAGAACAGTATTCACACGGGAGCCCAACCAAGTAGAACTATTTTCCCATAAAGATCTTATCCTTAGTCTAGGCAAACAATCCAAGTCACACCACAACAGTTCTACTCTATATATGTCTGTAGTAATTACACTAAGGAAACATGGCAGTCCTTAGTTTAAAAATAATAATAATAATAATTTAAAAAGCCCAAATCAGAAGCGCAGTGAAAATACGTAACGATGAAGCATAACTGGGAAAATACAGAAGGTAGCTTGATATGGTCAAAATATGAAAGGACTTACAGGGACATGAACAGAGAATAGAAAGCCCTGCTTAGTAAATGGTGGAGATTTTTAGTTAATTTCTGTAAAAGAACAAAACAGAGAATAAAAACCACACGCACCTGAGGTTTGCATTTCTTCCTGGATAACAAATACTTTATAACATCACTGGAAGAGTTGTGTAGCTTTACAGTTCAAAGCTGCACAAAGACAACACAGAGCAGACAGGGGTGACTTAGTGGCTCTGGGGAGGAAGGATGGATGAACTGCAGCAATCAAACAGGAAAAAAAGGGAAAACGTACATAGAGAAGGGGGAGAGAAAAGGCATAGACTACGTGGGAAACAGGGAAACCAAGGAACAATTATCAGAAAAAGTCACTGTCAGAAATTGCAAATGCTCAAGAAAGAAACACCACGGAGAAAACTGCATTCCCTGTCAGGATCTCCAAGGAAGTGAAAGAAATGGAAACTAGGCAGCAAGGATATAGTTGAAATAGTTAATCAAGTATGTTTGCCATCAAAACAGACTAATACATACAGCTCCTTTATGGCTCATCCACATGCATCCAGCAGAACTGGTTTGAAAAGGGAAATGGTTTCTGAGACCCAGTGAAGCCCATAAGTGAATTAATATTTCTGATAAGAGAAAGCAGTCTCATTTTCAAAGTTCTAGAAGTCATATCTCAAATTCCTCCCCTCCCTCTTGCAAGATGGGTTGCCTTCAGTGTAATTCACCAAAGAAGCTTTCACAACAGTTGGAAAAGGCAGAGCCTTCTGAGAAAGGAGAAGCATCAGTTCGGTAACGCAAAGCAAATGGCTTTCATGGTTCATCATTCAGCCAATACCTTGCTTCAGATCTTGCATGTCCTCGTGTGGCATCGCCTTGCCTGCACACAACACAGGAAAGGATTCCTCCCTGCAAGCCTACTCATGGCACTGAGGGCATGACTGTGCTGCTCTGAAATGCCCATGACCCTGACTGCTCCAGCAGTCCAATTTTCAGAAAGGCCAATGCAAGCAGTGAAGTGTTAAAACCGTAATGGCATCTGTCTTTGCCTCTGTCCTTTTCTCTCCTGCTATCAGCTAGTTGTATGTCTCCCAACAAGCAAAAAAGCAAACCAACTGCAATCAAGGCCAATGGGGAAAAAGATATCAGTAACAACCTTCTTCTCAATGCTGCAGGCTAACAGCTAAAGTCATGCCATATTTGTGAGAAGAGAAGAAACTTGGGGGGTCGTGGGTGGTGAATGACAACAACTAAAATATTAGGAAAATACCTCTCCTTGTTCTCTTTTGCTTTCTGTTCTCATCACATAAGTAGGAAGGAAACAGCTTTCGCAGATGATGAACTTCCATTGCTACAATTCTCTCTTTCCCCCTCCCCCTTTGTTTTTGACTGTTCCTCAATGAGCAAAGAATGGTCTTAAATAAGGTAAAAATATGATTTATGTATTAGACAGATATATCTTAAAAAACTGACAGATTCCATCCTGCCACAGAGCCACTGCCTCCTGACAGCAATGCTGTAATTAAGTTGATAGCATTGAACATTCCCTAAATTACTGGGTTAAAGCAGCAGAGCACTGTATTTAAACCTTTCACCCATTCAGATAATTTAAACAATTCTGCTCATGGCTTGTTTAGGCTACTCCTCCCCAAAGCATTCAAAATTAAGAGCACTCAAAAGAACTACAGACACCTAGTTTGGTACTAGTCCTTCCCTGGTCCTAATAAACCATGGCTCACACAGACAAAGCAATGCCTTATCTCCCTTATACCAGTCATAAAGCCGTTATCTTAAGAAAAATAGCATTTAAAAAAAAAATAGCAAACAAATAACCAGATTAATGAAA